GAATAATATATGCCAAAATATTAACAAAGGCTATTACTATCAGGTTATGGGGGGTTTTTTTTGTCTCTATTTTCTTTTCTTTTTTTTTGCCCATGTCTCTATTTTCTAGTTTCGATAAAAGAATATATTACTAGTTACAAATAAATGAGTCCACACTAAGCTCAGGGTCCAGCGTCCTAAATCTGGAGAAGCAGCCGAGTTGGGCAGGGCTCTGGGTCCAGGGTCCCTTAGTTGGCTCTGCCCGGGTTCTCTCTCTCCCCTTCTCTCCTGCAAAGCAGCTGCCTGCGAGGCCCAGCACTGCCCCCTGCCAGTGGCAACTAGAAGTGCAGCCTCACAGGCCAACCAGGCACCAGCCAGGAGCGCTCCCTGGAAAATGGATTTTGTAGTGGAGGATGGATTTGGGGTGAGATCTAAGATCAAAAACCCTCAGCAGCTCAATGAAGCTGCTTGTAGTCATTCTTTTTTTTTTTTTTTTGTAGTCATTCTTAATAAACATCTGTTGAATGAGTGAATGAAACGTGGCCTCAGCAAGCCACCCTACTGTCTGGCTGGGTTTCCGGGCTAGCCCCCAGGAACGAGCCTGCAACGTAGCTGTAATACCAGGCATTTGAATGTAACCCTGAAGCTTCTGACAACCGCACTCCATAGCGAGGGTCAGACAACTGGACAACGGCAGCTACTTGATTTGGAAGCTGCAGGGGAACTGAACTGGTCTGGGTCCCAGAAGATATCGCTGTATTTAGTACAGACTTTGGAGTTAGGCAAGCCCGAGTGCCAATCAAACCACCACCACTTGGAAACTGTACCCTGGGATAAATTAGGAGCTTCATTTTCCTCCAGTAAAAAAGGGAACACAACAAAGCACAGAACAGTCTTGGGATGATGCTCAGTATGCAGTATATGTGTTCTAATAAGTATAGTTAAGTTTTTTGTAATTGTCAGGTTACAGCTAAGGATTGTTCTGGCTCAGATGCAGTTGTAACACAGCACACCTCCACTGGTGGAGCTGGGAACAGAAGAGCCGGTGCCCTGACTGCAAACCCAGCGGTGCTCTTCTCAACCCACCAACTGTACAATAAGGGGGCTGGATTCCCCGTCAGTGCTGTCTATTCCTAGCCCTGGGACAGACAGCGTTCGTTGGGGTGGGGATTGGGTGGGCAGAAGAGATGAAGATCTGGACCTAGGCCAGGCCAGTGGGTGCTGGGGTCAACCGTAGCTCAGCAGGGACAGTGCAGATGGCCTTGGTAGGGACCACCCAGCCACAGGAACCCTCAGAGAAAATGAATTTGGGGTTGTCCAGCCTCCATGAGAAGCCAGGCCAGACCTCAGATCACTGGCCTAAGGAGCAGGGCAGAAGCAGAGCAGCCAAGAGACCCTAGAGAACCCCCTTCCCTCTTACCCACTCAACAAATATTTACTGAGTACCGATCATATGCCACTCTGGATACACGAGTGAGCAAAACAAGACCCCAGCACTCAAGGAACTTCCTTTCTAGTCTTCTTCCAGGTCACTCCCTTGGACCTTGGTCCCATTTTACAAATAATAAACTGAGACCTTTACCATTCAGGCCCCCTGCCCAGCAAGCTCCCGGACCTGCTCCCTCTGGGTCAATTACACCTGGGCCACTGATTTGCTGTGTGACTTTCAGAAGTCATTCAGCCTCTCTGGGCCTCCATTTTCCCACTGTAACATGAGGGACTTGACCTCATGTAAATCTGTAAGTCCCTTCCAGCTCTGAGGGTCCTGCTGTTCACACAGGAAATGCCAGTAAGGCCAGCATCACAAATCTCATTACGAAAACCCTCAAAGTCTTACTCCTAAGGGTGAAGGTCACTCAAGTGTCAGCCAATCAAACCAGCCATGCTGTACCAGGAAGTCTTCCCACTCCCAGGCAGCCAGGGCCTGGCATGGACAGACGTCAGCTGGAACCACTTCTCAGGGAAGCCCAGCAGAGGCTAGTGGGTGGGTTGGGGGTCTCACCTGGGCATCTTCCCGGGCCCGGTCCCGGTCCTCTCCTCCCTCCTCACGGTTCCCCTACGGCAGGAGCAGCAAGAAAGGTCAGTCCCCAAACATCCAACCCCATCTGTGCGTTAGCCACTGCACATCCTGCTCAGTCACCTCACCCCTCTGAACCCTTTCTTCATCTGTAGCCCAGGGACAATAATCCTGCCTCCACAGGGCAGGCTGTCATGGTCACTAAATGACAGCGTCTGTAGCGCGCTTAGCCCAATGCCTGGCACAGACTGAACTCTCAGTAACTGTGAATTGGGGCCTGACATTTGGGTCATAGGAATTTGAGAGATGGTGATGGGGGCTCCCACAAGGGGGTCACTCACATGGCTTTGTCCTGTGAGCTGGGGACCCAAAAAGCCAGGTTAGGGCCACGGCAGCGGGGGGTGCTGCCCGGAGAAGGTGGCACCAAGCCAGCTTTGACAAATGAACAACAGAGGTAGGCAATGGGACTTGAAAGAGGCTGGTGGGAGACACCCTCTTCTTGGGAGGGGGTTTCTGACTCACCTGCCCCTTCCACGCAGGAACCCTTCCTCCTCCCAGGCCTCTAGAAGGGCAAGCCGGTCTGGGGCCCATGAATTCACTCACCGTGGCCAGAGAAATGAGGATTCGCCTGAAGTGGCCAGATGTGTCTGAGCTCAGAGCGTCCTCCAGGGACTTGTGATAGTCTGAGACAGAGAAAGGGGCTGTGGGCAGCTGCCAGCCAAGAGGGATTTGGTGGGTGGAAGGGGGTTCCCGGAAGCTCAGATTAGAGCCAGGGCACTGCTGGCAGGGGGAGGTGGGGAGGAGTTTGTAGTTGGTTCTCGGGGGCATCCAGCCATCGTCCCGCTGACTGTGTGACACGACTGGCACTGCCATCAGCCCGTCACCTCCTCTCTGTCCCTCCCCTCTGCTCTGTTCCAGCTGAGGTCCCACTGCATCTCGCCTCTATCATTAAACAGCCTCTTAGGTCACCCCTGTCTTCATTCTCTCTTCTACCTTTCCTCCTGCACGGCAGCTGCTAGACCAAAGCATAGCTCTGACCGTGTCACTGCCCTGCTCAAAAATTCTACCATTTTAAAGCTGCTTACAAGAGAAAAAGTTTAAATCCTTTTGACCGGCACTCAAAGTTCTTTGGAATGAAAATATGAGTCCGCTTGTTTAAAAATTAAGAATTTCGGCCGGGCGCGGTGGCTCACGCCTGTAATCCTAGCACTCTGGGAGGCCGAGGCAGGCGGATTGCTTGAGCTCAGGAGTTCGAGACCAGCCTGAGCAAG